GAACGCGGTTTTGTGGTGGAACCGGGTGGAGGTGCCTGTATGTGACACATCCGGTCCACGGGTCCCCAGTTTGACAGGCCTGGTATAGAATGCCAGCAATGTTAGAGCTTTGTTCACAGATAAAGTTCCCCTCTTCTCCCTTTCACAGAGCTATTGCTGCAGCCTAGAAGCAGAAAATAAGAGCAGGCATCTATGAAGTGGAAGATTGATGGCTTGTGCAATGAACATTCGAAGTCCAGGTATAGGTACAAGTAAAGGTTCTGATCTACACTGTGCTATCTGCCAAATGTTTGGCTGCTGATTACACCCAAAAGCAAGATTTATATACCTCTGTGTAAAGAAATTTTGATATCTTGAGAGCAGAAGATACAGTATTACACAAAATTTAGCAAGTGAGTGGTTTTCCTTTTAGTATCTAAATTATCTAAAAGGTGGTTTAGGGTGGAAATATCTTCACATCCTTGTTAATGGACAGGAAGGGAGCTAGCTGTGAGCTTTCTTGATGATGATGTTAGAATGTAAGAGTTCTAGGCTTGTGGTGATGGATTCTAAACTACCATCTTCTTTTCCAAACTCTGAAAAGATCATAAAAACCACCTTCCCACTCAATTTGTTCCCCCCAAGTGTGTAATGGCATAATGAAAGAGCAGAAATGGCAGAATATACATTGGTAATGGCTACAGCTGGCTTGCCCAAATTGCTGCATCACCTGAGGAACATCAGTAGTTAGTTGACTAGTTTGGGAATCTATCTATTGCTAATGTTGAATTGAGGTACTGGTGACCTGTTCTGTGTTCCCTTCTGTTCCCAATCATTTGCATGGCCCAGATCTAGAACAAGAATTTAGCTTTCCTTGTAAGAGGACTAGAAGAGTCGCCAGGATCCATGTCAAGCTTTTGACAGGTAAAGTAAATTTATCAGAAGTTTTTTCAACCAGAGTTTTCGGAAAGGAAAGGGTGTTAACAGAAATCTTAGCAAAGAGATTACTTTCATTTTCAAATTGATCTCTGTTTATTGCGGCAGAGACTTCTTCATACTCTTGTTAATACAGTAACCCTTTCAGTATGTGCAGATGGTCTGAATTTGTGAATTCACAAATCATTGTGACAGTTCACAGCACAGAGAATCACCAAATTAATGCCCTTGATAAGGATAGTGAAATAGTGACCCTAGAATTGTACAATATGGGCCAGTCCGATTGACATCATAGATAGCTGGAAAAATGAAGTGGAATTAGTGATCTGTGAAGATTAAATGCCACAGAGGGAGGGGGGGGGGGAATCAGCCATCAAATTTTGTAAACTAGACATTAACTGATACTGCTAAAGACCTACACAGCAAAAAAGGGTAATATCTACAGGAATGGTAAAAGTTGATAGAGAAACATGAAAGTAGCAAATGTCAGCCAGTTATATGTCATTAAGAGTTAAGATCCAGTGCTTAGTAGGAAAGCATGGGTGAAGGTTCTACCCTTGAACTGTTGTTGTTCATGTTCAACGAATTGCTGTGGAAGACATCTGGTAAGGAAATATTGCAAGGCATTAAAAGAAGCATCAGAAGAGTTCAAGGAAGGAACCTTGAAAATGTATCAAATGAAAATAGAATTAGATGAAAATGCACAGCCTGAGTCCCACAAAATAAGGCTTGTTCATCATGGCATGGTGAACACTGAAGTGGATTGCTTGAAAAAGGATAGCACATTTTCAAAAGTTACTTTGTGATCATGGACCACTCCTATCATCCTGATTATAAAAACAAACTGTACTGGGAGATTAGATCAGAATGGTTATTTTAATTTGTGACTTGTTTACATATGGTCTATCAAGCATAGAAGACATGCATGCAAATATTAGGCATGGTGGTGCATATACAGCAATTGGAACACTTACACCTTTCTGTACCCCATTTTTTAAGGGCTCAGCTTTTCTGAACAGTTCAGGCTGTTCCCTGGCCCTTTAAAAAGGATTTGGCTTTGGTGCTGATGATGGGGATAGAAAAGAGAAAACAAAATTACAAGAAGAGCAAAGAAAGGAAGCTGGAGATTGCTGGTAGTGGCAGTAAGACCTAAGCAGTGATGCTGAACGCCACTGAGGGCAATGGAATAGTTAGAATAGGCAAAGATGGGTCAGTGGCCGAGGTGAGCTTAAAGAGAAGCTGAATAAATCAAGTGTTGCAGATCCAGTGTGGACCAGCAAATTACAAGTGAACCAGGCACTTGGAAACCAGTGTAAGTCGGCCTAAGTAGGCCTAGGGACTAGCATCGGAAGAAAGTTAAAGCAAACCATTTACCACTCCCATCAGCAACCATCTTAATGGCCCATGATGACCACTAGAACCTTCCAATAGCTAAGGAAAAATAGCCTCGACCTTACCCCAAGCCCCAGTTGTTCTCAAGTGATTGTAAGGAAGGGGGAGGAGGGGGGAGCCAGAATCCAGGAAAGGCAAAATAAATAGCATAGCAATTTCATAAACATAGATAGAATCATCTATCTGGCTGGCTGGCTGGAGAATTCTGGGAGTTGAAGTCCACGAGTCTTAAAGTTGCCAAGTTTGGGAACCACTGATCTATTGATGGTAAAATTATTGATTAGGAAACAAAGCAGTAATGTCTTCTTTCCTAAAAAAAAAAAAAGAAATTTGTAAAGTTTGCAATAGAATTTTCATTTCTAAGGAGTTGTGTACCTCCCTGCCTCTGAGGGTTGCTGTCTTGCAAATAAAACCAATGGTATAAATAATATGGAACAACTCGCTGCAGCTGCTGGACCTGGCCAGTTGTCTTGTGGGACAATTGACCACAGGAGAATGCCAGAGGTAAAGGCAACCTTCTCCCTCCTTGATTTGGCTTATCCCCACCCCCAAAATACCCCTTGAACTCTTGAGGCAGAAACTCCTGTGCGTAGAAAAATATGTGACTCTCTCCCTCTTCCCATCCTCACTTTGTCCTCCGAATCCCCCCCACCCCAGTCTGAGCTACAGGGGAGGAGATTTCCCTCGTCTCCAGCATTCTCCCTCAGTGAGTTACCTCTCAGTGAGGCAGCTGGAGCCAGATGGCAGCCAGGGTGAGGTGGCAGCGCTGAGTTGTCCTAGATACTTAGCTTACAAGCAAATGCATTACAGCTCACTAGAATGAAGGTATTTGCAATGATGCCTTGTTAGAAGACTGCTTCTCAGAGCAGGAAGAGTTCTCCAATGATTGTGGAGGTTTTTTCTTCTATTTTTTTTTAAGGTAACGATAAAGGTTCCCCTCGCACATATGTGCTAGTCGTTCCTGACTCTAGGGGGCGGTGTTCATCTGTGTTTCAAAGCCAAAGAGTCAGCGCTGTCTGAAAATGTCTCGGTGGTCATGTGGCCGGCATGACTAAATGCCGAAGTAGCACAGAACGCTGTTACCTTCCCACCAAAGGTGGTTCCTATTTTTCTACTTGCATTTTTACATCCTTTCGAACTGTTAGGTTGGCAGAAGCTGGGACAATAATGGGAGCTCACTCAGTTACTTTTTCAGGTTTATGTTCCCACCAGTTTGGTGCTGTTTTAATATTATAATTTTTGCACAAATTCCAATGGATCATTTGTGCTACTGAATTATTGGGGCTGGTTGGTAGCTCAACAGCTCGAGTCCTAACAAGGACCTAGGAACTATTAAGGTAACGTTGGAGGATATAAGCTCTTCTAAATAGGGTGGTTTTTTGTAGAATCAGAATGTTCAAGTCTGATGAATTTAAAATTTCCAAATAGCGAGGGCTCTAATTACAATCGGGACAACACTCGATTTATTTTTCCAGTCGCTCAACTTCAGTTTGCAAGTCCCGGTACTTTGTGATTTTTTCTTGCTGTTTATCTTCAATTCGTGCATCTCCAGGTATTGCAATGTCAATGAACCATACTTTTTTTCTTCTCAACTATTGTTATGTCAGGTGTGTTGTGGGCCAAGTGCCTGTCAGTCTGGATTCTGAAGTCCCACAAGATCTTGACTTTCTCATTCTCTAAAACCTTCTGAACCAGTGGTCCTAACCAAGGACCTAGGAACTGTTAGGGTAATGTCGGAGGATATAAGTTGTTCCAAGTAGGGTGGTTTTTTGTAGAGTCAGAATGTTCAAGTCCGATAAATTTAGAATTTCCAAATAGCGAGGTAGCCCTTTAGGTATTGCTCCAAGGGCTCCAGTTACAATCGGGACAACACTTGATTTCTTTTTCCACAGTCACTCAACTTCAATTTGCAAGTCCCGGTACTTTGTGATTTTTTTCTTGTCTTCAATTTGCTTATCTTCAATTCGCGCATCACCAGGTATTGCAATGTCAATGATTATGATTATGATTATTATGCTTATTATTATTATGCTTATTATTATTCAGTATCATAGTTCATATCAAAACAGAACCATTATAAAGTTACATTAACAGTCTATGAAAGATGCAGATCTTCCTTGCTATCAATGTCAACCTTTTTAAAATAATCAATGATGAAGTCTTGTACATAGTTCGAATTAGTCACAGTTTGCTTCAAGAATTAATAGTTTAATATTAACACATTCCAATACAGTACAGATATTTTCAAGTAAGACCATCTATATTTTAAAAAAACACTTTGTACAGGGCCAGCAAGCTGTGGACTTAGTTTTTTTTTTTTTTAATACCAATCAACAGAATCCTGAAACACAATTCCACTGTAGCCAAGCCAAGATCATGTTTAAATACAGCTCAGCACTGCTGACCTAAAGAGACACACAGCAGGAATGCAATTCTGGATCGCAATGCAAAGGCTTAGTGGTTCATATTTTATTAGATTATTTACATCATCGTGGTAACCAAAAGAGAGAAAATCCGTGAGATTTTTTTTCAAAAAACCCCTATAAAAATACAAAATACCTTCTCTCTCCCCACCCTCTCCCGATGAACCTCCCCCCCCCCCAAATTTCCCCCATAGGTTAACAAGTGTTTCAAGAAGGGAAAAGATACTTTTTTCTTTCAATAACCTTCCTGGAAAAACTGGAAAGTGCATATTGCACAGAGGGAAGTTCCAGTCCCTTAGGGAACAATTAGGATCAGTTTGGCAAGGGAAGGGAAGAGAGAAAAAGCAATTGTGAGTGTATGCCATTATTTGCTTTTTCTTAGCCAAGAGAGGAAAAAGCAGGAATGTGCATACAAACCAATGCACCCAAGACACAAGGCATCCATCATTCTTCGTTTAAAGAAAATTTGCCTTTACTTTCAACATTCATGTGCAGGCATCGTTCCCTTTTCTCTCTCTCTCTCTCTCTCCTCACACCTTATCTTAACACACAAAGATCCCAAACAGTTTGAAGAGGGATTTAAAGTGCTTTGTGAACACACACACACACACTCCTTACAAACGTCTAATTTCCAGTATTCTTTTTGCAGACATTTCTTTCAGATTGTATTTTTACCCTGCCACCTTTAATATAATCCTTGACACATTATGGCTGGCTCTGTCAGCAGCCACTAGTTTACTAAACTTCAATTGACATTCCAACAAATTAGCTGTCAGCACAGAAACCAGGTCATTAGCAGCAGTGCTCCAAAGAACAGTGCATAAGAAAACAAAACCATTTTTTCCTACTGAGAGGGCGCCGAGCTGTGCTTAGAACAACCCTATACTGATCACCAAAAGGAACACTGGACCATGTTCTCTCCATAGATGTGCACTGTTCTGAGATGGTGAAAATGGAATTGTATCAGCTTTCTGTTTGGACTTATAGCTAAACAAGTACCAAACAATGCACTTGGCGCATATAGCTGGTTGCTCAAATTGAAATTTGTGTGAATTATACTTCATCAATGAGAAAACAACAATTTAGATATAACTCATAGGGAAATGCAAACTAGCAAAGAGGACAAAACCTTTGGGAATGTATATTAAATAAATCGAAACATGTGGGAGGGAAAGAAAAGAGATCTCTTTGGTCAAAAATAGCATTTGTAGAAAAAAGTTTGAAATACTGAAATACTGCTTTAGCATTTCAAATATATAATAATATATTCTACAACCTGTGGCTTCTCTTAGGTGGCCCTTTCTATTGATTCAGAAAAAACTGCAAAGGCTGGAATTACTCATAGCAATCCAGCATTGCTTTATTTCAAAATCGTGTTTTCAATTCTGAGCACACCCAATCATTTAGCAGGAGAAAAATCCCTAAGCTAGCATTTGCTGCTCTGTGAAAACTTGAAAATCATATACAATTTGATACAAAGCAAAGTGCCTTCAATCTTAATCCAGCTACACATTTGTTGTCATAGACATCTGGGGTTGCTCCTCTTTAATTTACCTAAGGAATAAACACTAGGCTCTTTCCATTAATTCAGCAGAGGATTCATCCTTGACTGTGGAAAGAAAGGGAATTCTGGTTCACTAGCACACAGGTAAATCAAAGGTGCAATGCTGCATCTGAAAAGAGAAGCTACTGGGATCACAGGTGATTGACAAAGCAGAGAAAGATCATTCTTCCTTACTGTACATTTACAACCATTTAGCTTGGGCAAGTCTGTTTATTTAAACACAGCCCAGATTGGAAGCATTTTCCACAGTCTCCACTCAACCTTCACCAGGATAGAAATTCATTCCTCTGGCTACCCTGTTTGTTTTAAGACTGCTTTGCTTTTAAATGTCAGGCTATTCTATATCAAAGAAAAAAAATGCAAATTATGTTGCAAGCTGTTTGGAAGATGCTGATCAATTCCAAAAAGGAAGCACAGAACAAAAAAACAGTCTTTTGCTTAATTCACAAGGGTGGTGATGGTTTACTGTCATCTTAAAGGCTATCACAGGTAAACATCATCTACTATTGAGTCTCAAAGTTCTACTCTTGAGTAAAACCACCTACTCATTAAGCTCAGACACACAGGAAAGCTAACTTGGAAAATTAAACCAATACTGTAATTAATCTTCTCTTAGATCCTTTCCACTGTCCCTTTAGGAAATGGTAAAACTGGCTGGGGAAGGATTCAGCAAGCAATGTAGGTTCTATAGTTGACCCCATCAGCTGGTCCTCTTGAAGCTTGCCACAGCTTGCTTCTAACCTATATGTGAACCTGCCTCATTGCTAGTGGATCAGGTTGATCCACATTGACTATCTGGCACACAACAGAACAGGAAACTCTGATCAGAGTTGGCAAAGAGAGGAAGGAGCCCCGTCTGCTGATTTCTCTCCAACAGGCAAAGGCAAGAATTACCAAGCCTTGCCTTCTTAACCCCAAGTATTATGAAGCCTCTGCGGAGCTGAATGGGACAAATTTAGCAGGCTTGTTTGGTGACATAGGAGACAGACCATTGGTTTCTTCACTGAGTTTGAAAAACATATCTTGTTCTCGCTTTTTCTGATTCAGTTCATCTTCTAGTGCCTGAAACACAAAGACAAAAAAGGTGAAAAGGTAATGTTTTCTCTAATAATAACCTTGGCTTCTCTCTGGGTTCCTGCCAGCTTACATGCAGCTGCAGGTTGAAATGAATATGACATCAGAAGAAGGAAAACAAAGGGTATGAAATGCAAACCTGCTCACAAACTTTCAAACTCCTCCCTATTTGTTTTCCTCTAAAATTATTTCACAATGCAATTCTGATAAATTAACAACAGTAATAACAATAGTTATTGCTTAAAATAACTGTTGCTTGTTTTCTAAAAGTTATTAAGTACCTGATTATTTATAAATGCTTTATTTCTTAAATATTAACTGTTAAGAACAGCAACAGAATCCTTCTTATTCTTCAAGGGAAACCTCAAGAGAAACCAGGGCCTCAGGGTGCTCCAGGACCAAAGATGTATCTCAGTTCCTTTAAAACAAAATATGTCAACCTTGCTGACTGGGGAATTCTGGGAGTTGGAAAATGGGCCGTTTCTGGCCTCCGGAGGGCTCACAAACGTTGAAACTGCTCTCTATTTGTTTTCCTCTAAATTATGGGTCTTGTGGAAATTAACATTTTTTAAATCCTTATTTTGACCAATCTGATCCCAAATTAAAAATTTCACAATGTAATTCTGATACGAGCGCAAATTTTTAATCACCTTTTTTCTTGGCCTAAGTTTATCTCGCCAATCCTTGAGGGTCAGGTTGTAGTTTTCCTCCAAGGCTTTCAGTTTTTGGGTCTCATGTTCAACCAGAAGGTGGCACTTTTCATTCTACATAAATTGAAACAAAGCAAGAGAGAGGGGGAGAGGGGAGAGAGAGAGAGAGAGAGAATTATGAGAAGATATTTAGAAAGGAAGAAACACCAGGCCTACCATCTCTTTGACCTAATTTGAGATTGCATGACCAGTAACAAAAAATATGAAGTTATCATTCTAATATCTTTCTGACATTAAGTAGAAAGAAGTCTCATTCCACCTAATATCACAGATTGCCTCCTTAACTTGAAATTAGCAAATATACCATGGTTAGCAAATTGCACTCTAGTCATAAAGACCTGAGATCTATGGTAATCCAAGGAGTTTAATTTGATGCCTTTGAGAAAAATCATTCTCTTTCAAAA